CTCTATCCACTGAGCCAAACCTGTCAGGGCGACGTGCTAAGTTTTTGTACGTTCTTGTATTGGCAGATTCTAAGTCCTCCTGGTTGTCCATACCCTACAGATCTGCCCTTTAGCTGGAAAACTCGCCTCAGGACCCACTGCCATTTTAGTCTCCTAAAGTGCATAGGTAGGCCCTCATTTAGCTTCGCAGTACCTGCTGGGGTGTGGAAATTACAACGCACACGTGACTGAGGATTTTTCTCATCTGATCTGCTGTCCCTTAGGTCTTCGTTGTTCTTGTTCTTTCATTGTGTTTCCTGCAAAGCCACTTCTCTGCCCTTTGACAGTGAGCCCCTTGGGAGCGCCAGCCGTTCTGGACTTGGCCCTGGGGGGCTGCAGCCTCACGTGCCAGTCTCCCAGTCGCTGGAGACATCTTCCTGTCTCCCTTGCTGCCATCACTTCTATTCCCGCGAGGCTTTAGCGGTCATAGATTTTCTAGTCTCTGGGGGAAGAGAATAAGATAGGTGCCCAGAATATAGGCATAAGGAGGTCTCGGATTTAAAGAGAGATGAAGGGTTAAGCAGCGCTAACAGGCCTTGGTGTCTTAGCTCGCGTGCTTCCAAAAGCACACTACCTGCCTGACCCCCTACACTGATGTGGCTCATTCTTTCATTGACTATCCCTTTACTTAACAAAGCAGAGTCTCTGTTTGCCTGCGTTTTCGCTGAGCTCGGGTACAAAGATGAGCATCGATGGCCCTGCCCACAGGGACTCAGCTGTTAGGGAAATAGACGCAAAACAGTGTCACTAGAACCTGAGTAATGGACATAGAAGGCTCCACTGCCTTGTCATGAAGGCTTGAAAAAACATTTTTTCCCCTAAAGTTTACACACACTCAGGTATAGGGTGGCTCTGCCACCTTTTTTTTTTTTTTTTTTTTTTTTTTTTTTTTTTCAGAGAAGAAGAGAGAGGGAGAGAGAGAGAAACATCAATGATGAGAGAGAATCATGGATCGGCTGCCTCCTGCATGCCTCCTACTGGGGATGGAGCCCACAACCCAGGCATGTGCCCTTGACCGGAATCGAACCCGGGACCCTTCAGTCTGCAGGCCAACGCTCTATCCACTGAGCCAATCCAGCCAGGGCGCCCTGGCACCTTTTAGGAAGGTTCTTAGGAACCCACGGATCAATCACCTTCTCACAGTGAACTTCTCTATGACTGTGACCTGTCCTCCCCTGAGAATACCGATTTGACTGTGCAATTCTGCCACACTTGTCCTCAGCAAAACCTCATTTCCTATTCAGAGACCAAGAGGCACAGTGGTAATTGTAGAGCAAGTATTTGTACAGTGTGGCCTTGATTCTCACAGTGAACTTCTCTATGACTGTGACCTGTCCTCCCCTGAGAATACCGATTTGACTGTGCAATTCTGCCACACTTGTCCTCAGCAAAACCTCATTTCCTATACAAAGACCAAGAGGCACAGTGGTAATTGTTTTATTTGCAGAGCAAGTACTTGTACTTGCTTATAAAATTTCTTCCCTCCTCTCCCCCAGACATTTCATGCCCAGGGTGTTCCTTCTTCCCCGCCGGTGAGAAATGAGCTAAGTCCCTGTGGTATCTTGTTTGGTCTCCAAGTCAACTTCAGAAACTGGGGGAGTAGGATACATATTGGGGTGTGGCTCTTCCCGGCCTTCTAAAGTCTCAAGGAGCAAAGGAACACCTTCCATGTCTGATAATTACGTCTTTGGCTGAACAGACAATTTAGTAGGTGGTAGGTTTATCATTGAAACATAATTTTAGGAACTGTTTCCCAAGTGTATTCTGACGATGTGAAAATATCCAGTATGAGTTCTCAGAGAAGTCTCCTAACTGTAGCAGCAGCATCCGCACGAGTTTGTTAAAACTAAAATCTTAGGTCTCACATTAGACCTGAATCAAAAACTGGCTGCGGCCCAGAAATCTGAATTAACGAGCCCTTTCAGTGACGCTGTCGATGCTGACGTTTGAGAAATACCGATAGAGTATATATTATGGCTTCACTCTGGCTAGTGTTAATAGTCAAATCAAAATAGAGTATGAGAGATTTAACAGCATTTTTTATCCAGAACCAATGGTTTTAAAAATACAGCCTTAGTTTCCATTTTCATTTATTTTGTCACAAGAGATAAAACCAGGAGTCGATGTTGCACAGCCAAAATGTAAATGGAGCTAGAAGAAATCTCTTGAGCGCAAGAGCTAAAATACACATGGTCTGCCTTTTGGGTAATTAGATCAGAATTGGTGTTGTCGGAATCTTCAAGCTAAACGACCCGGAAGCATCTTTGAGAGAAAAATCATTGTGCTTTGCTTTTGATCACAGAGAAAAGTGGAAGCGGGCGCCCTCAGAAGATGAACAGGAGCCAGGCAGCGATGCAGAGAGTGAACCAGAGCAAAACACAGTGAGAGCCCGGAGGCCTTTCCCCAGAAGGTGCAGTGTTTGCTCGGACGTCTCTGCCTCTGGGGGAGCGTTGTCTGTGTTAGATCGAGAGGGCGCGGTGCTAGGAAGAGATGGGACACAGTGCGCGGTGCCTCTGGGTTTCCAGTGTCTGTGGTTCACTTCTTGCCAGCCTGCATCGTTAGCCAGTGACGGCATGGCGGGGCGTTTACATGATCTGTAGCTCAGAGTGACTTACTGTTTCCTCCTCCATGGTGGATTAGTGATGTGGGAAGAACGTGTCTTCTCTTTAAAAAAGCTCCCTGTGGCCCAGACCCGTGGTCGGCAAACCGTGGCTCGTGAGCCACATGCGGCTCTTTGGCCCCTTGAGTGTGGCTCTTCCACAAAATACCACGTTTGGGCGCGCACGTACAGTGCGATTGAAACTTTGTGGCCCATGCGCAGAAGTCGGTATTTTGTGGAAGAG